TCGGAGCAGTAGACATAGCCAAAATTTGAATAACTGAACATTTGGCGCTTGTTGTTTGGAACCAATGCTATTGGCCTGGTGAAAAATCGATACTTTGTCTCGCTGTGGCGCACCTTGACTCGCGTTTGACTGATTCAGCTCTTTTCTATCAACGATCGCTGCCAACGCAAGTCGTGAATTTGTTAAAAGCGTTACATTTTTCGATGTAGTGAATTAAAAGTAATTTTCGTTAGTGCAGATAATAAGGGTTTTGCCACATTAGAATATCTGGTAAGAATAATTTGTTTTAATAAGAAGATGTGTATTTCTTTTTCTTAGAAAATGCTGACACGTGTGATTACAAAATGGATGCCGGCTTAATATTTATCTGTAATTAAGTTTTTTTATACAGGCAGCTGAGGGGTCGAGAAATTTGTTCAACAATTTTATAAGAATAATTCATATTCAAATTTCGCTATATATTTTAGCTTATTTTGCTAGTATATTTAATTTCTGATGTAGTTTTTTTTTCTCATTGTTTTTTTATCCATATAAAAATAGGTAAATTATGATATTCCAAATAACGGTTGAAATTGTTTTCTCTGTGCTAATATAAAAGCTTTAAATTTTGCATGAAGGTCACTCATGTCTTATAAGCATACAAAACTACTTGCTTTTTTTATCATATTTTTGTTTTCTTATTTATCAAGAATATCAGACATTTTGAAATTATAATGGATATGTTCCCAATGATTTGCTGAAATTGATTTTGTTTTTTTTTTAATTGTCAATTAAATTATATTTCTGTTTTAATTATTGTTAAATACTAAATTTAGTTGTTTCTGTTTTAATTATTGTTAAATGCTAAATTGAGTTATTTTTGTACAACCTTGATTTGAATTTAAACTGGGATTTATTAGATTACAATCTGTCTGAGTTCTGTAACAAAAAAAAGGTTTCACGGTCTACATTGTTTGAAATTCTTTTAGCATTAAGTGGGAGTTCCTATAATTAACTAACTAAGACCTATGAGACCTTGTGAGATATGAGATAAATCAGACTCGGAATCAGATGGCAGATGAACTAAATTGGAGATCAGGATAAGGCAAATTCACCGTTATACTACATCAGTAGCTACGAGGGATATCTTCGCTTCGCAGAACTTAAGGAAGTACCTATTCTTCGAATAAAAGAAATCTGAACAATCTAAAGACATTGTATTCAAATGTATTCAAACTGACATTGTATTCAAACTGACATTGTATTATATTATATATAGGAAGGTTCATCTTTTAATTTCCATCTATTTAACTTTACAGACTTGACTAAGAGACCGTATGTATTTTTTACTGAGGTATTTTTCTGCTTTTTGAGAAAAGCAGATGGCGTCAAAGGTTTTTTTTTTTTTGTTATTTTGTACTTTACCTATTAATATTTATTTTGTCTTCTCGTGAAGGTAAATTAGATCCGTGAACTGACCTAATTTGCTCTCTCAATAAGAAATACATCCTGGCAAAGAATCTACGCCCCTGAGTATAACATCAAAACATTAAAAAAATAAGTTTAACTAAAAAAATACCAATGCAACACATCAAATAATAAAAATGAATGAATCTGAGCTCATTTGGGTCTGGATTCTTGTAGCAGTTTTATTTGCTTTTTGTGGTGTCTCTGTGTGTCTTAGTTCCCAGCGAAAAACGAATGTGGGTGGAAAGGGGGTGGCTGATTTATTACTTGCCTTGAAAATTCTGTGTATCGAAAACAAAGTTACCATTCAAACGCACTTAAGATAAGTGTGTCAAGTGTTTCTTGGTCTAGGTTCCCAGACACGTGCACGAAAAGTGGATCTCTTGAGGACAGGGTTATAGATATTATTTATTAGGTGTCGTAAATAAAATTTAACTATCTGGGAGATTTTTCGTTAAATGATCGATTTTGAATTTAATAAGAATGCAATATTTTATTTATTAAATGGAATTAATAAATTATTAAGGTACTTGGGTGAGGTAGGTTACAGTCCTGATCAGGATAATAGGACAAACCTTTTAAATTATTGCATTGTCATCTGTCCTTGATAAGTGTGCAAAGTTTTAAATCAATCTGACGTTTTGAAAGGGGTGAAAATCACGTTTAAAAATTCCGTTAGATAAATACATACCAAGCTAATAAAAGCGTGTTAAAAATAAAAATAAACTGAAATAATGCATTACCAATACACTCATAAACTTATTCCTTAACTCTCTCTCTCCTGGAATAAATATTATTTACCTTTTCAGCTTTGTTCCGTCTTTTTTTTTTGACATAAGCCTGCATCTGACTCTTCCATTCATTCGTATTCCGTGTAGTATGTCGTATGTCTACAATGTCTTTAGAATATGAAGTGTTATACCTATCTGTCTGCTTAAAGCTTGGCCCCGCAAAGTTCGTCTTTAGTTCAGATGCGTATCTGACATCTATCTCTATGTCATTCTTTAAGGTATTAGTTTGTTGCATATTAGTTTTATACCTATGTTGCATTTCTCACAGGGCACCATAAACCTCAAATCGATGTTTAAGACCTGTTTCGACGATCATCTTTCAAACACAAGTTTATTATACCTATCGTTAGTTATTTTGTACAAATTTTATTACTCTAACAGGTTTTTTATTAAACAATAAAAAATGTAAACTATTTTTACATATAAGTTTCTTCAGGAAAAATATTAAAAAAGTGGGATCTGCTTGATCAGACAACTGTTAAATAAAAAAATATTTTTAAAAATTTGACTTTTTAGATTGTTTTTCTATTAAAGACTGGTTTTTAGTTTTTAAACTGTTATTTATTAATATAAATGTTGATTTTTATATTGCAGCTATTTTACTCTTGTTTGATGACGTATGGTACATTTAAAAATGTTGCTTACTTTAAAGTAAAAATAATTTGGAATGCAAATATGCAAACAATCTTTGTACTAATACCTCCCATACTCTCTCATAATAATTTGATAACTACGTCGTTGAATACACCTAGAGAACACTGAAGAAAGTCCCAGTAAAGTAAATTAAATTCCAGATGGTTATTTCAAATGAGGTAGTACCTAAAAACCAGCAATACCTACCTTACTAAACCTAAACGGTGTAACCGCCTCGTACCTTTTACTTTAAAGGTAATCCTGGAAGAGCTGCATCCAGTGTGGATTATAGTTAAAAAAAACACAGAATGTTTGTACAAAACAATATATTTAAAACGCTAACCACAGTGGAGCAATACAAAACCCCAAATAAATTTTGTCTTTATTTACAATTAATTGCACAAAAATAAAAATAAGAAAATAAATATAAATTAGTCTAGACGAATATTCTTAATAAGCGGTGAAAAGCTCTAAGGTAATTTACATTAAAATGAACCAAAAAATAAAAAGTAATAAATCACCAAAACTGATATGCCCACAGTATTTCTAATCAGCGGTGTAACCTCTAAGTTAATTAACCAAAATATTTGCAAAATTAAAGCTTTGTAAGAATGAATAAAAAAATAAAAGAATTAAATCCGCAATTATAAATAATTTTCTGAACACATCCTGTATACTAATAGGTTATAATAAAGCTTTGTGACAATAAATAAAATAAATCTATAATACGGTTGCACTCGCAGTTTTCCTAATATAAGTTAATTAACAAATTAAAGAAGTAGTGAAGGGTATATTTTCTCGGGATCCCTTGGAAGTTGAGAAATTTAGTCAGCAAAACAGGTATATGCGAACACTGGCCTGGTCTCTCTTACGAAACTTCAGTAATCCCAAAACGATGCACCATTTAGAACTAGTTAAGATTAATTGTCTCGAGCTATAAAAAAGATTTCTTTGCTAATATTTAACAAGCGACGATCGACTAAGAGAATAACGAAATAAATCCTAATAGTACAGGCAAATAATCAAAGACTCCTACCTTCATTTCCGATGGTATTAACCGTGACGGTGTTACTCAAAGTAACTCGAAAATTGCACAAGAAAAATAAAAATATTTCGCGGGAATATCAGCTTTATACTTTACGCTCAGACTAGTTCAAGTGCTTCGGAGTGGGAGTAGCCTATGTTTACAACTCGGAGGAATGAAAAAATGTCCTTTTCACATTTGCGAAAATGACCAGATAATTTACATAAATTTAGGCGTTTAAAGCCGGATTGAAATTTCGGTAAAAAATAATATATTTTTACTTTAACTTAACATTTTTATAATTAAACTATAAGAAAATTTAGTGACTTTGTCAAAAGTTCAATTGTAATAAGGAGAACCCAGCTGCGTTATCACTTGGAGCTGTCATGGAGAATTCGATAATCAATTGATCCGTATCTATCAGGTGTTTTCAATCCCTTTTCTCCTATAACTTTTGACCTTCTATTACCCTCATATCCTTCTCTTCCTTTCCCTTCCTTGACGTCGATATTTTTATTTTCTTCATTTATAATAATAAGGCCTGATGATGGCGAATTAACCAATGTATTAATATGTATTTACTTTGTTAAGAATAATAGTAATAAAACAACTCAAAATCCAAATTGACAATACATATCACAAATTAGGTATACGTATTTACAATAATTAAAGTTTTGAAAGATTTGATAGACATATAATGCGGGTCAATATGGAATTTGTTGAATTTGTTATCTTGAAATTTATCGGACAGTTTTTTTATCCATTTGAACTATATTTATCTTACCAACTATTAGATATATTCTCATCATTTGTAGTTTCAAAAGGTCCAACAATGCAAAATGAAATAAAAAAATATGGAATGATCCATAAAAAATGTTTCTTAAGTAGGTCTTGAATAAATCACGCATTTCGGAACGTACAATTAATTCTTTTTTAAATACAAGTTTGAATTTAATTCAGAGGTGTGTGTAGTTATCACGAGAATAACTCGAATATCTGGCTTTGTCGATCATGGTCTACTTTTGAAACATGTTTTGTGGATGACACGTTAGTTCAAACAACGAATTTAATTTATTTGTTCAAATTTATAAATTTTGTTTATCAATAAACCTCTAATAAAAATTAGTATCATAGATGTTGCAAATTAATTCTCTTGATTTTATAATTTGTCGAAAATACTGGACAGATTTTTTTGGCACTCGTTTTAAAGAAGGATCATTATAGAAATCAATGTAATACAAACCAAAATGGGACCTAAAACAAAGAGTAGTTTTATGTGATTAAAAAATTTAAAAAATATTACCCATATGATTAGGAAATAGTTTGAATGCAAAATAATATGTACATATTTGAAATTTCTTCAAATGAATCAAAACATATATTTGTTTAAATACCTGTTAATAAAAGACTTAGTTTGTTTTAGAATAATTAAGTTTTAAAATTGACTTTAAAATGACGCTACTGCCATGTTGAGATGGTTTAGATAGAAATAATTATGTTATTGTTCACTGCCAACAGCTTTTTAGTGGCAACATTGGCAATGCTGCCAAATCCTTCTGATTTTGATATGTATATTGTATGTGTCAACATTTTTTAATATTGTTAATTTTTTTAGAAGTCAGGGTGGGGTGTATTTTAATTTTTTATGGCCCTAGAGTGGCAATTTGAAGAAATTTAGTTAACTTTCACGTTTGGCGCCAGTGCTACTGTGGTAATGCATTTATTTCAAAAACACCATATACAGGGTGTCCCAATAGTATGTGGAAGTTCGATATATCCTATATTATAGAAAATATCAAACAATGTTATTTACAAAAGTTATAGATAATAATAATCTGCACATTTAAAAATTAGTTTCGAATATACAGAGTGATCCATAACTTCAGAATTGATAAAACCTATGTTCTTTTCAATGGATTACCCTGTCTTTAAATATAAATTTGAATTCCCCTGACTTTGACCTTTAAGAATAAACCAACATGTATGAGGTTATACTGGGTAGTTTGGAAGTTTAAACCAATTTTATATGAAAATTGTACTAGGTTCAACCCTCTGTATATTTCAAAAGAAACAATCGAACATCAAAATTTTTTAATTAATCATTTTTAATGATAGTCTACTTTTATAAGAATATACCAGTTTTTCCTAGCGCAACAGACGTGTACAGGGTGAGTCAAAACTCAGATATATGATTTTCTCAATTTTTTTAAATGTAACACCCTGTATTTCATATCACTACTAAAAAATACTCTTACTAAAAAGAACTCTAATTATACGTTCGTTTGAGTTAAATATTGCCTATCCCTAAACACAACAGTTTAGCGAGATTCTTAGATGAAATATTAAAAAAGATTAATTATAACTAAATTCACAATGTAATTTGATTTAAACTCCTGTTAAATATTATATATTAGTTACTAGTTAATCAGTTTATATTTTTAAGGTACCTAGTACAATTTTTTATCAACTGAAATTATTTTTGGGACCTTTACAACTTTTTATATAAAATGCAATGAAAGCGCTAACAGAACTTAAAATTTTTTTGTGCATTAGGTCAAGGGCTTTTAAATTCATGTCAAAAGAACAATTTGACAGTTCCAAATTGTTTAAATAAAAATATAAAATTACGTTTAGTATTCACAAGTATTTAAATTTATTGATTTGACTAATTTAAAAATGAATTTTGAAACGAATGAATTGACTGATATGATTTTAGTGCTATTGGCTAGTGATGAAAATTGCTTGTTGGGAACTAGAATTTATAAGCAAAAATATCCTGATCGCCGACAACCTCGTAAAGAAATTTTTGAAAATCTGTTGAAAAGATCCAAATGTACAGGTATTGTAGCATATCAAAAAAATGATAGAGAAAAACGAACTTTAAATGAACAAAATGAACTCAGTATTGTACTTAGTGTTACCGAAAATCCAAACACCAGTACACGCGTCATGGAAAATGAAACGGGAATAAGTAAATCATCTGTCAATAGGATACTATTAAAAAATAAAGTACATCCATACCATATCCAACGTCATCAGGAGCTCCTTGAAACTATTTTCAAAAAAGAATAGCTTTTTGTGAATGGGCAATAGAGAGCATTAATAATGAAAATGATTTTTTTGATTGTGTACTTTTTGGGGATGAATCAACATTTCACAAAAACGATTTCGTCAATAGACACAATTTTCATTACTATTCCACCACCAATCCTTATGAGTTAATGACACATAGCCAAACACGATGGTCTATTTTTTTCATTCAAGTATAAAATATCTTCTAAACTCTTGTGTTTAGGGATAGGGACAAACGAACGTATAATTAAAGTACTTTTAGTAGGGATATGAAATGCAGGGTGAACCTAACCTTAATAGTAAAGAAAGCAAATTCAGTTGATAATAAATTGTAGCTAGGTACCTTAAAAATATGAACTGATTATACAGTATATTTTAACAGGAGTTTAAATCAAATTACATTGTGAATTTAGTTATAATTAACCCTTTTTAACATTGCATCTAAGACTCTCGCTAAACTGTTGTGTTTAGGGATATGCAATATTTAACTCAAACGAACGTATAAATACAGTACTTTTTAGTAGTGATATGAAATACAGGGTCTTACATTTAAAAAAACTGAGAAAATCATGTATCTGAGTTTTGACTCACCCTGTATACGTCTGTTGCGTTAGAAAAAAATTAGTATATTCTAATAAAAGTAGACTATCACTAAAAAAGATTCATCAAAAAATTTTGATGTTCGATTGTTTCTTTTGAAATATACAGAGGGTTGAACCTAGTACGATTTTCATATAAAATTGGTTTAAACTTCCAAAATACCCAGTATAACCTTATAAATGTTGGTATTTTCTTGAAGGGCAAAGTCAGGGGAATTTATATTTACAATTAAATACAGGGTGGTCCATTTAAAACACATAGGTTTGATCAATTCTGAAGTTATGGATCACTCTGTATAATCAAAAATGATTTTAAAATGTGCAGAATAATATTATCTACAACTTTTGTAAATAACATTGTTTGATATTTTCTATAATATAGAATATATCGAACTTCCACACACTATTGGGACACCCTGTATATTGAATGATGTCACAATTCCTTTGATACTAAATAACTAACTCCAACGTATCTACAACTTCATGTTAGAAAATATTATTGCCTAGAAAAATTCGTCTTTAATACACTGTTGCGTTCTTCTGTTTTGTTATCATAGTGATGTCCCTACAGATGCTGGAATCACTAATGAAGTCTAGTTGGAATATTGAGCTATGACTAGTGTAGTAAATAAATTAAATTAAACAAGAAAGCTGATGCTAACAAACTTAGCTACCATGTAGCAAAAGTTTGTATAGTTGAAATTTTAGATATTTAGGTAACCTGGAAATAGAACTAGCATCAGCAGTTCTCACATTGTGTCAGAAATATTCCAGCTAGGAAAGTGGTAAGACATTGATAAGGGAAAGAAATGACACCATGTTTAAGTACCACCACTTTTTAAAAATATATTAAACATTTTATAATTAAAACAATGTTACGTTGTGTAATACTTAGATATTACTTTTATATTTTTAGAAATAACATATCTCCGGTACGTGTATACAAAAAACAAATCTGGACTGTAGAAAATTGTAATTTTTATGTGATGAAAAAAAAAACAGGTGCCTTTTTAAACAAATGTGACAAATTTTATTATAAATTCTCTTGGCTTTCTTTGAAAAATTACATCTTTTTCTGATAAAAACTAATTTGTACTTTACGAATTTTTAATATTTAATTGATAATGTTAAAAATTTATAAATGCATTACTGTTCCTAACCCTACTTAGGGGTCTATTCTGTAAAAATTCCTTTATATTTAACGGCCTTTAAAAATATTGGCGGCCTTTAAAAGTATATTTGTATTCATTAATTTACTTCTGTCATTATTTAAACAGATTTCTTTAAGATAGTACTCTAATGTATTTTAAAGATCCGTTTAAATAATGACAGAAGTAAAGAAGAAAATATTTTTAAAGGCCGTTAAATATAAAGGAATTGTTACAGAATAGACCCCTTATAGTTTGGAATAAGCTTCGCTTTGTGGTGTTATTTAGGGTATGGTCCGTTATAAACCTACTACGACCTACAAAAATTGAAACTGAAGAAGAAGAATTATTGTCACCAAGGGGGAGAGAAGAGTATTTGAAAATAACCAAATTAAATAATTAGATCAATCACATTTGTACATAAGACAGCAAATAATAAAGTCTATAGTAATTAGCCAATCAATTAGTGTGAAAATGGGAGTGGGTTGGCTCAGTGGTTAGGGTCATGGCTTTGAGATTAAAGAGTAACGAGTTCGAATACCGCCGGCGGCAGAGATTTTTATTTAATTCTAATGCATAAGTCGGATTCCCCACTCGACCATTTTCTGTTGGGTTCCAATTAACAGTGATGTTCATAAAGTAGCGATGGGAAACAGTCACAAAGCCTACACATAACACGAGGCTAATAGCATAAGTAGTTAATGCCGATGACACCAAAATAAGAAAAATAAAAAAATGTGAAAATTTTGCAGTATATTATGCAATGTAGCAAATACTTACTTATAGCCCAGCATCCATTCGAAATTGTCCATCAAGCTCCAAGCTCCCAATCCTACTACTTTGACCTTATCTACGTACATCGCATCGAGAATGTTACAAGAATACTCCTGAAATAATATTATATGTTGAATAATATAATACGAATATGTACGACTGATATTATTTAATATGTTTCTTTTACTCGTTTTTCACATAATAAATATTATTATATTTTGGCATTTTAAACGGGTATTTTAGTTTTGGCAATCTATGTATTCTGGTGAGAATTTGCGAAGACTGAGAATGCAACGTTTAAAGAAAACAGAAAAAAAAAATACGTCACTAAAACAACAAATTGAAAAATGGCTAATAACTTTAACGACTTCATTTAAACTAAAAATATTGTCAAAGAGCAAAATATATAAAAAAAATACGTTATAACCAATTTTTTCTTGTAATATATAAAGTAATAAAAAACAAACTAAAGAGAGTTTGATTATGTAGAGGAAATATCAATCATTGTCTGTCAAATGCGTAAAAACAATATACAATGTTCATAATTACGAGAATTTCTTGTTTAGATTAGATTAGATTTGAAAGGAGTTGGACATTATTTCTTTGATCACCGCGACCTTTTTATATCTATTGTGTGACTTCGTTATTTAGATGTCGTGTAGCTTGGTCTTTTTCATTAGACTTAGTAGCTTTGACAGTGGCTCCCTCATATAGTTACATACGTTTGGCTTTTCTAGACCTAGTGTTAGAAACCTCGATCTCGCGAGGCTTTCACACTGACGCAGAACGCGGATTGATATTTCCTCTTCTCCACAAAACCTGAACAATGTTGCTTTTTCTGCTAGATCGCTGAAATTCATGTGCCTTCTTCGGCGACAGTGTCTGGCAAGAATACCCACTGTTATTCTAACGATTTGTCGTTTATGATTCACTAGGTAATTTTGTGAACTTGATTGGTTCCTTAATAAACTCTTTTTGCATTCATTATTTGAAAAATGCCCTACAAAATGCTTTAGCATATGTACAGAAGGGTTCGGAGCCTGTTATGGCCTTATCTGAGGCTTTTCTAACTAGTTCGTCGGCCTTTTCATTGCTCTAATATCCTTCGTGGCCTATTACTTTGTTTTGACCACTTAGCTCTATCAGGTCTTCCAGGCAGTCTTTCACCCGTTATAATTTGATTTCTGGTAAGAGAATTGCCAAGTAGCTCTTGGCTATCTGAGTAGATAGCAATAGTTTTTCCTGATGCTTGCTAATTTATTATTTCTCTTGCACAGTGTTGTATTACTGTTAACCTGGAACATTGTTGCGTATTTTCTTCTTTGTTTTTTGAACCGTCTGTATACTAGGCGAGTTCAGCCTGTACAGGATTTTCGGGCTGGTATTTGAATTTGAACATTTCTTTTTGTATGTGGTTATGGCTACATTAGTAGACATTCCTAGAATCTTATCCTTTTTTACTTGCTGGTATAGTCTCATATGGTCAACGCTATGTAGTTGGCTCACTGGGTTTTGTCCTTGAATTAGTCTGTGAATGACAGACTTGGTTTTTCCTTGTATAAAGATGCGCAGTGGCATTGCCCTTGTTGACCTCATACTGGCGAGATACTGAATACCAGTAAGTTGCCCTGTTGCACTTGTCTGTGCAGTTTTGGTTGCCCACGTTACTGCGGAATGTTATCATAAATCTTATCACCTTTATTCTGGAATTCTGTAGCTTACGCTCCAGTTTGTTCCGCATAATATTGCTTGTTATCATTATACCAACTTTTCAAGAAGAACTGCTCCTTGGGTCCACAAAATTATGCCAAAGACTGAATGGCCCGGAACTCAGCTTTAGAAACGGAAGATTATCTTAGTAGAATTATTGTTCAGTATGCATTTTGAAGCACTCCGCGTAACAATGTTTCTTCAGTTAACATAATGTCTCTTTAAAGAAGAAGCATAGTGAATGTTTAAGAAGAATGTATAATTGTAACGTTCTCATTGAAAAGTAATCTAGCATTACCACCATTTACCACTTTCAGTTCTCTTATTGGGCCATATAAAAAATCTTTTTTTTATTTTGGTTGTGCTATATATAACTAATAGCTGATCGACTTCAATAACTTTCAAGGGTGAAACATTTTTCCAGGACCCGCTTTCATCCTTTCATCAGGTATTTCAATTTCAATTTTAAATAAGAATATTCTCGAACAAGAAAAATAATTTGGATTACAGCCAAGCGCTTAAAAACTTTATAACCCAAGTAAAGTAAATATATATGTTGAACCTTTAGAATGAAAAAGGTAAATATTATTCTCCATGTACAATTTACGAAAAAAATTCCAGATGTATATTGACTCGTAAATTTAAACTAACTTCTTTTGATATCTACTATGACGCCAATTCTATGTATCTGTGGCGTAATCTAAATGTTTTTTTATAAAATCTTGGTAAACAATGTATTTTTAAAAATCTAAAAGTTTCACATTTGCACTTCCAGAACCTTTCAATCATACCACAAAAAATATTTTGGGCATCTCGTGTTGATATTAGAATAAAGTATTTCAAAATTGTAACTCGCTGGTCTTGTCGCAGCAACCAATAATAGACAAAACTTGTTTATTTTATGTACAATTTGGATCTAACTTATTATTGCAAGGTACCGTCATACTTAGAGATGGACAACTCTGTGACTGTAAATGTTATTTATTATACAATTCATGATGTCGTTTTGAACTACAAAATGCCACAGACAGCTCAATTAATATTAAAATAAGTTGCTTATTTTTCTCCTGTGCTCTAAAATTACATTATCTTCAATTAGTTATGTAATGACTAAAATATATATATTTCAGTTACATGGTTTTGATAAAAACACATTGTAATAATTATTATTTGCTATAATATTCCAATACATACCCTATAATATTCAATTCTCTGATCATCTTGTATAGTTGTACCATCATCACTCACTCCCATTTCTGTTATTAAAATAACTGGATTATTGTATTGACCTTTTATCCATTTTAAGGCTCTTCTTATTCCCCACGGCGTATTCTAAAAAATATTTTATTAGTTTATTGGTTAAATAGACTGTTGGGATCAATAGTATTCTACCGTTACTATTATTCACCTCTTACTATTTGCTTACATATATTTTCAATCGTTTTATTATTCTGGTTTATCATATATTTAATGGTTTGAAAATGTTTTCGAGACTGATGGCGATACAATTATAAGATCAAACGAACCTAATTACATGCTGCCTCGTCAAAGTAAATAAGATATTGTATCCCTGTATATGTCTTAATTCGATCACATAGTTGAAAGTTGAAACTATTTGATATATTCCCTTCTCCGCTGATCCCCTTATCCCAATACCTTGCTTTAGCCATTTCACAGCATACTTGTTGCAACTTAAATGGGACTTTGAAAATATTGGGTGGAGTACAAGATTAAATCTAGGACGGTATAGAATAGACACTAAGCCAAGACAAAATTTAAATTATATCCAATGTAGTAATCGGAATGTAGCTCAATACACGTAATGAGTATCTGGTGTCACAATCAGATTAAAATTAGGCTGTAACTCATGATTATTAAATGTCTTGAATAAACTGAAACGCGATGACGAATTATAGGATATATAGTTACTAGCTTTTTATTTTTAAGATATGCATAAATTATATCCGATATCTTAATCGGAATGTAGCTTAATATACCTACTAAATGAATATGTGATGTAACAATCAGACAGAAATTAGAATGTAACTCTTGCACATACTTTTATTTTCTTTTACTATACGGAGAATGGTCGCACTGCGCAGCTTTCTGAGTGCCTTTTAAAAGGAGATAGAAACCTCCGCCATTTTGAACCCTTATTACGTGTTGCCTACATCTTGGCGCAATATTTTTAATAGATGCGTTTTAATCATTGATCTGGCAACCTAGGGATACGACATGCGTAAGCGAAAAGTGGGACCGGTCCGCCATTACTGTGAGTGCAAATTGTCAATTTTATAGGTTATATTTTTACTGTCATTTGTGTAATTAAATTTGAATTTAATTTGTGTTTGAGCAAATTTTGAGTGTTACAAACTTATAAAGTATATAATGCCTTGATGTGTTATAAGTTCCTGCTCTAGCGATATACGTTTTTGTGAAAAATCGACTGGAATAACGTTTCATAGGTTAGTATTAAAATTATAAATATTATACAGGACAGTAATATGACACGTTTGTATAAAATGTGTAAAAGTATGCTTTTAAAAATGCAAAAAAAATCATCTATCAACTTTTGGGCCTACCCATATTGGAATAATACTTTTTCATACGAAATAATATTTATAGATTTCCAAAAAATCCTAAAAAACGTAGCGCGTGAATACAGTTTGTCAACAAGTATAATTTGTAACCTTCTAAATTCAGCAGTATATGTTTCAAGCATTTTCTTGAGAAGTACATTAATCGTACGCCATTTCGTTTATCAAATTTATAGGCATTTTATATTCTTATTTCTATTTAAATATAACCTACATTTGCTGTCCTTCCACCAATTTTATTTATTAGTTCTACAGCTGATTGAAAAGTAGAGCTTCAAGTTTTGTGTATGCATGAGTATTGTTTGTTTTATTATAGTTAATTCAAAACAATATTAATATACCTTTTTAATTACCTATAATTTGTTTCAGATTAGTGCGTTTAAAGGAATTGGTGAAAATGAAGCGATTCGCCAACTTTGGGGATGTGCCACAAAAGTGACATCAAAGTTATTCAGCGATTCCAGAATAAAGCATTAAGGAACATCGTCAATTCACCCTGGTACTGCCACAATACTGATCTTCATAGGGACCTTAAAGTGGAGACTGTTGAAAATACAATACAAAAATTTGCCAGTAGTCACCAACAACAACTGTTCCAGCATGGAAACCTCGAGATTATCCAGCTCCTCAACAATGCCAAATCTAATAAGAAGACTCAATAGACCAAGCCTTTTGAGTTAGTTCAGTGATGTTAAAGCATAGTATAGTGCAGTTAAGTGATTTAGACTCTAAGGTATACTAGATAGTAGAATATCAATTTGTGAAGTTTTTCATCCCTTGATAAGTTAGAATAAAATTTCTAATTGATTTTAATGATTAGATTGTAATAATCGTAAATATTTGTTTACTTGGGGCATTTATTAAAAAAAAATGTTGCAAGACGCACTATACAAACTTAAATATCACATTTTCAAAACTTTTGGTTTTTTATCAACAATAATTATAAACGTCAGTTGGCTACTCAGTACTACACTTGTCAACTACGTTTCTTTTTTATGATAAATTTAAATTAATAATATGCCAAAATAGTGTACCTTTAATGATTTTGTCATGAATATTCGCGAGCTGCTTGTATGGAGTATCAGTGACAAGTTCCAAGGCACCAAACATTCAGTGCTGTGTTTCGACATATTCCAACACATGGCATACTATGTTAATATATCTTTTGATATTTAAACTTTTGTAGCTTGGTAACCATGTAGAATTGGATATTTGTTCATAGGACATTTTATGCTTGAAATGAATTCAGGAATATGATATTTAAGTTTGTATAGTGCATATTATGAACATACTGTATATAAGTTCTTATAATAATAAATATTTAACAATAATACTCACTTAGTTTTTTTTTAATGAGACTAGCAACAAAACCATAACCGTTTGTCTAGTATTAAAAATAAATATCACTCATATTTATGGATAAAAAAATATTAAAACTTTATTCCTTGTACACTTTTATTTAATCACAGTGCACATTATTTGCATTTACAATATTTGCTTGTCGTTCATATGCCCCAGTCTGTTTTGTTCACCTTTTCTAGTGGCTTTTTCTGCTAAACTTTAGTCCCTCTTCTACCTTCACGTAGGTAATGAATTATTCAACTATTTAGGAATATAGTCAACAAATGGATTTTACTTGTTTTACAGTAAGATACTTATCTTTAATATTCAAGTTTTAGAATTTGAACTTGGATTAGGCCATTTTCGTCAATTTTGTTCTTAGAGCTTTTGGAAAAACACTTGGGAAGTACTCTTACAAATTTATTTCTTATTTTGCCTAGCGAAGAAATTGTGTATAAGGAAATATTCTGGTTTTCACCTCAGTGGTCAAGAAAAGCGCTTACAGTGGATACTTTTCCTAACTCGATAAATATTTATTACCTAAATGTTGGCCTCCCTTTATCACCAGCCTACAATTTCAACTCTTTTGCTGTTAACTTTAACTTCATCTGTGACTTTAACTATGATTGAGACTTCAACTTTATCTTCACATTCTTTGTCTGACTTTCAATCATACATGCATGATTATTGTGTACAGACCAATTAAATTGGATCGGCATGCTTGTGGTGCATGTTATGTTACTACGGTAGGCCTTTACATAAGTAGCCGTAATCTCTGCAGATGGTGAGAAGCCCAGCTCAAACCAACTACCATAATATCGTCATTAGATCTATAGGTTTCAAGTAAGATCTCTTCATATTTTACATTTGTTAGAAGTGCACCTGCACATCGCTGGTTGTAGCTTCGCTGATTTACTGAATGTCTTGCATGAAGATATACACCTTTCAGTCTGAATCTACAAAAGGACCAAGACCAAGTAAGATTAATCCACATTTTGATTTCCTGAATAGTGCATCTACATACACAGAGATTGCTTATTAGCCATTTTCCGCGAGCCTTGCATTAAGTTTCGTATCTGATTATCGAGCTTTTAGTGAATGAACATTTGTTCTTAATTTCGAGAAAGCTGTTAATTAAAGGTTAGATTACTCGACATTTGCGACCTTGTACTTTCCGATTTAAAGACAGGAAGCATTGGGCTCATAGAAAAACGAAAAACTAAAGATTGGGCTATTTATGTGCCCTAGTGCAAACGTGTGACGACTGATCCAATAAATCGAACTCTGTTTACTTTTGTCGCTTATGTGAACCAAAAATGTATTATTTATTTTTTCTGTGAATTATTTTAACGCTTTAGGGTTAATTTCACCATTGTCTTAGGCCCGTATTTATAAACAAAACTCAGCTGAGTCGGACTTGGGTAAGTCGTCCTTGAACGAAAATCGAAGTTCGGTTATATCGCATGAATTTAGAGATGGGTAGTAACAAATCCGTAAATGTACATAACAGTTACAGATTTCCTAATATCCATCTCTAAATTCCAGTTTAACACCAGAACCACCTAGAACTTTAGAGACGTTGTAACCGAACTTTGATTTTAGTTCAAGGACGACTTACCCAAGTCCGACTCACGTAAGTTCTGTTTATAAATACGGGCCTTAAAGTTTAATCTATTAATTGAAGATTAAAATTACATTTTATATAAAAATGTAATTTCAAACTTCGTTAAACCCAATGGTGGAATCGACCGCAAGTTAGTTATATCATGGTCATTGATTAGTTGCAATTTTGCAAATAATATATTCTCCAGCGCTTAATAGCCACTTGAGTGATAATTAAATCAGTTATATTTTATTTCTTTCATTTACTTTATTCAGCACCTCTCGGCTGAAAACCGGGCATATTTAAGCTTTTAAACCCCCTTCTTTTATAACCTCGGCCTTCTACCACCTTTTAAGTCAATTTCTATAAAAAGGAAATTCATTTTTTTATAATTCAAATAATGATACTTAACCAGAAATAGTACAATAAAAACTTGTAAATCCGGTTCTGCTCTTCCGCCATTTTAGTGAGTGCAAAAGCCACGCCTACCGGTCCCACTTTTGTATATCAAAAATAATACATATGACGTATCCTTACGTTGCCTTATCAATGGTTTTAATCATGCACTTCTGCTTCGGAATTGTCTGTTTTCTTGTTTTAATCTGACAGGTTAAAACGACTAAACGGACAATTCCGGAAGCAGAAGCGGATGATTAAAACTCACCTGATATTTTGCTTGCTGCTGTCAGTGTCAGTAAATATTATTTTTGAAGTCACAGTTTATTGCTAAAGAATCAGTTAGCTTACTCGGGCCAGTTGAAAGTTCCAAAATAACATCTACTCCAGGGATACAAATTCAGGATACGCAGAAGACTGCTGTTTTATTATAGGCGGTTGTCATATATTGTATTATCCGAGTTGCACAGTGTATAAACTGAAACATTGAGATCAAAAGTGCCGACGCAGAGTGAGCGATCTGATTCTTTTGCTGTAAACTGTGTCACAGGGTTCAAAATGGCCGCGCCCTATGTTGGGCGTGTCGGACCTCTCTCTTGCCTCGTATAGTAATCAAAGTATGTGAACTCTTGATTATCCGATGTCATAATCAAACTGTAACTCAATGACGCAGTCAAGGAAGTATACTTACATAATTTGGATTTTAAAAACACATATAAACTATATCTGATCTCGTAATTGAAAGATATAGGTTTCTTACTCATAAATATTTAATGTCACAATCGGAATATTCTTCAATATTATAATCGAGAAATATCTTAACTTGTCTAAAAAATATTCTTTTATTGTAAGCAACAACTGGTATCATAAATAGCAAAATTTTGGGTCTACTGTTGTCATAAAAAAATATGTAAAAATTCATTATACTAAACAATGCAGGATTTTCTTATTATCAAAAGTCCAGGAAACTCATTGATATTACTGTTATCACAAACAGTCAACCATTGATATCTACTGTTATCACAGTCAGCATGTTGATATCTACTGTTATCACAAATAGTGCAGCAAAATATTCGATATATAATGTCATTAGTTAAGGTAAAATCTCAATGTCTACTATTATTACAAACAGTGACCTACTATTATCTACTGATATCACAATCAGTGTAGGAAAATATTCAATTTTAATATTAAAGTCTCAATAATCTATTATTACAAAAAGTAACCTACTATTATTTACTATCATCACAGACAGTAATCTACTATTATCTACTGTTATCACAAACACTGCAGTAAAATATTCGATTGTAATGTCGTAAGTTAAGTTAAAATTTCAATATCTACCATTATCACATACAGAAAACGATAAACATGTATTGTCAATTACAAACAATGTGTCTAATGATGTCATAAACCATTTGATTATTTAATAAAGGTCTTATCTTTTCGGGTAAAAAGAAAAGTGTCATCAGAAACAATTATATATGTACCTATAAACAACAGTAGTATAAACATTATCTACTACAAAAAACAAATACTTCAAGTACCTAGATATCAAGTTTCATGGGATATTTATTTTTTTTAAATTTCTGTATCTTAAGCCTAAAGAAAAGACCAATAACAACTACTTTTGCAAAGAAATTATGCACTATAATAATTTAAAATAGTAAAGAAGAAACGAACTTTTACCAGTTGGTATCATAAAAAAAATACTTAAATTTTTGTTCAATTCACAATTATTTAACAGTGAAAAAATCGTAAAAATAATCAATGACACAATGACTTCATTGTTGATATGACTGGAAAATTGCTTGACAAAGCGAAACTTTGTAGATTCAATCGGACAGTTTCTCTCTAAACCATCTATATGACACGTTCTAAACGCGCCGTGAACTACTGTATCGAGTTTTTTGTTTCTTGAATGTTTACTTTGAGGTTTAGTCATCGGTACACTTTTTGTTTTTGAATTCACTAGAAAATATAATATAGATGTGATATTTACGGCACATTAACAAAGACTAAAGCAAAGTATTGTGATAAGGGGATCAGCAGAGAAGGGAATATAGCAAATAGTTACAACTTTCAACTATGTGGTCGAATCGAACAATATACAGTAGTACAACAAGACCTTATTTACGAGACGAGGCAAAAATAATTTGGACAATTAGTTATGTTTAAAAACATTTATAATTGCAGACGAAAGAAACAATACTGTTTAACGATGAGTCAATAATGCTTTATTGGCGTCGCGTCGGCTTGAATTTGGTTAACCAATAACTTACATAGCACAAAGTCAAGGTTGCTCTTCTTCTCGTATAGTACATAATATTGAATAATGAGTATTGTATACTAGTTTTTGCTTCATTTTTGACCTTTTGTTATTACTTTGGACCTAGTTCTTAATTTTTTGTTATAATGATTGACCTTCTACAAATTGGCCTGATGATGACACGCTTACTATTTTTTTTTACTCCTTAATAAATATTCTATGACCCAAGAGTTAGATATTTGATTTGTTATTTGTTATATATTAGATTAGATTAGGAGTTGGACGTTATTTGTCCTTGTCCACTGCGACCTTTTCAGATCTATTGTGAGACTCCGTTTGTTTTAGAGTATGTCGTCTAGCCTGGTCCTTTTTATTAGACTTAGTAGCTTTGACAGTGGCTACCTCATGTAGTTGCATGCAATTGGCTTTTCTTCTCCCAATGTTAGAAACCTCATTCCAGCCAGGCCTTCGCATTGGCACAGGACAGTGTTGTATGGCTATTAGCTCAGCCTGGAACACTGTTGCATATTTTACTAACCTCAGCGAAATCGTTGATTTCGACTTGGGTCCATAGATTTCAGCACCGGCTCCTTCCTTGGTTTTTGAACCGTCTGTGTACCAGACGAGTTCAGCCTGTACGGGAGGTCCCTGTTTCCAGGACTCTCGGGCTGATATTTGAATTTCACAATTTCTTTCAAATTTGTGTGTGGTTATGACTGTATCAGTAGGCATAGCTATAATATTATCCCTTTTTACTTGCTGATATAGCCTTGTGTGGTCGGCGCTATGTAGTTGGCTTTTGTTATATATTAAGTTTACCAAACACAAATAAATGTAAAAGAAAATAAAGAAAAAATATGTAAAGTTCTTGTTTAATAAAACTGTTGTGTTTAAATATATATTACCATGAAATTTTATAATATTTCCACACAAACAAATGATGCGGATGGACAACAGATCATCGCCACTGAGCTATATGCACTGTTGTCGAATTTATTAAAAAATCTTGAATTGTTCTTATCATTTTGTCAGTTCAGTGGTTTTTAGAATGGTATACTGCAAGTTCAATCTCTAATTGACAAAGCGATATATCTTCAGCCTTAGATGCAAATGGATTAACTGTAAAGAAGTTAAGCAAAATGTATCATGTAATTTTTGGCTTGAATATTTAAAATAAGCATGGTAGGCGATTTCGAATCGACGGTATAGATCTTTAACTAACGGATAGCCAATAAAACGCATTTTCGGTAAAAATTAAAGTTAGGCCATTTTCATCTTAGGCCGACGATATATATACACACACATCGCCAAAATTCTTGGACCCCCCTCGTAAATATTTATCATGGCTGCTTTTATCTCACCGTTGATAAGCATCTAAAAATGTTTACAAAAACAATTTCCCACAATTTTAGGTACCAATGTTTAAAAAGTAGTTCATATGGATTTTGCGTATTTAAGTGATTGTTAAGTTTTTCTTTGCAACTATGCCTGGCAATAGAATTTCAGTATTCAACAGAGCAAAAATAGTGCCTTTGCATGACGAGGGTCTGCCGAATCATTGAATCGCAGATAGACTAGGGATTCCCCGCGCTTTAGTTATCCAAATAGTGCGTTTGTACCAGGAAACTAACAGCGTTGACTAGAGACGTGGGACTAGGCATTCTAGGGTAACTAATCCAAGAAAAGATCGGTATGTATCAGGTTATGTACGTCGAAATCGAACCGTAACAGTCTCAGCTGTCCGAACTCATTTTATAAAAACGTATGTTCGATTCATTTCCAGTACCACAATACGGCGGAGACTTGGTGAAGCCAATTTACAATCTAGGAGACCATTAAGAGTACCCAGGTTACTTCCCAGACATTTAGCTGCTCATCTACAGTGGGCACAGAAACACAGAGACTAACTCAGTGGCAAAATGTTCTTTTTTCGGACGAAACCAGATATGGTTTAATTAGTTATAGTCGGCGACACAGAATTTGGAGAAGGCCAGGGCGACCAGAAAGACTATCTTTTGCAAGAGAAGTCGTTCTATATCAAGTAGGAACAGTAATGTTTTGGGATGGCATAATGCATGGTCGTCTTACGCAGCTTATTCCCATTCCAGACACTATGACAGCTAATAGATATGTTCGAAACATTATTGAACCCATTATTTATCCTCTCCGATATGAAATTGGAGCCAATTTCATTTTCATGAACGACAATGCTAGGCCCCATCGCACGAGAAGTGCACTAGAAATTCAGAATATTCAAAGAATACCGTGGCCAGCAAATTCGACAGATATGTGGGATTTCGTTGGACGAGCAATGTCAAACAGAATTAATCCTCCTATCACCCTCCAGGAACTTACAGTCGCGGCTCAAGAAGAATGGAACAACATCCCAATGGATTACATTGACACCCTTATTGTTTCCATGCACAGGCGAGGTAATACCCTACTACAGAACAGGGGAGGACACACCCAATATTAATAAATTTTTGATTTCGCTCTAAAGTGGTTTTCTTCCGAATTTCAAATTCTATTAATCATTTTATTATGCACTATTTTTCGTTTGTATTTTTTTCTTGTTCAGTTTAAATTCAGCCAATTTGTATTGGATACATAATCAAATTAAATGTACTATGTAACATACTTCTTGACTTTTAATAATAGTGTCTTATTTTGACAAACGTAAGGGGGTCCAAGAATTTTGGTGATGTGTGTATAATATATATATATAGTCATATTTACTAACTAGGCCACCAGCTCCACTCAGGCTGTGAAAATGAGTACGTACCTAGAGCCAAAATGAAGAAAGGGATAATAAGTAGCAGATACATTGAGTTGACCACTCTATAATCCTATTCTACTATCCCTCAAATTACTGAAGATTAATTTAAACTTACGTGGGCACCGAAACAAAGAAAGATTAATTAATACTCACTTTTCGTAAATTTTTATCAAATTTCCAATTAGGATTCTCGGAAATTATCGCACCCATGTCGTATTCGTAATTCGTAAATCCTTTTTCTCCTGCTGCAATGTTTGAAACCAAATATGTGTAATAATAGTTTAATCCTAAATAATCTTGAGTTCCTTTTATAAAAGCGATTTCTTCTCGGGTGAAACTGGGTAGTCGAGATTTTGTTAGATTCTGCGATTTGCTTCGTTGTGCGATTCTATCCTTCACTATCTTTGGCCAATCACCAATATAAATGGGATGCATGTACATACCACACTGAAATACGCAAATAAATAAATAATTGGATAGATATAAGGCATGATACAAAAAATTATACAGGTGTGATACTTAGCCGATGAAATCTCATTCAGAGTTCACGCATGACGCATTGTGGTGTAGAATTTTATTATCTGATTCATCATATTTATCATATGAGCAGAAAAAAATTATTTTCGCGCGTTGTTTTCGATCATCTGATACCTTAAATTCGTAAAAGCCACGCCTTCCACCACAATATGACGTGTAGTATCAATCTGCGTAATATCATACCTTCTTTTTATAGTATAATAGATATAATGTATATAAACAGAAGCCGAGGTTATCCCATTAGTCTTATTACAACTTAAAAAGGTATTATTTGACCATTCCAGATACTATGATTTTTAACAAACAACATCTAGATAATTCCTCCGACATTGCTTCTTCTTTTGCTAGTTTCTTTTTAACCTCATTCTCTGATCACACATCTCCTGACAATACTCCCAATATCCCACTAGGGCTCTCCCACAACTACTTATCTATTACTCAAGTATCCGAATGTGATATAATTCTAGTTGTCAGACAGCTAAAAGCGAATATGACAATGGGACCCGACGGAATTCCTGCTTTTTTTATTAAGGACTTCATTTATGCACTATCGACTCCGTTATGTCAAATATTTAATATTATTATTCGCACAAGCACATTCACTAATAAATGGGAAGTTTCTAAAATTATTCCAATTTTTAAAAATGGAAATAGGGCACTAATCGAGAACTACCGACCCATAGCAGTCATATGTAATTTTAGTAAAATTTTTGAAATATGTATAAACTGAAAACTTTATGCTCATTTTGCAAATTACGTAATTCCTCAGCAACATGGTTTTGTCAGTGGTAGGTCGACAGTAACCAACCTAATCGAGGCGACACAATTTTTTAGTGAGGTATTAGATGCAAATGGACAAATGGACGTTATTTATACCGATTTTTCTAAGGCCTTTGATCGTATTAACCATAAAATTTTACTTAGAAAACTGAATTCGGTGTCTATTTCGCATGACCTGCACGAATTATTTTCATCGTACTTATATGACAGGTGGCAGTATGTTAAAGTAAAATCCTCTAAAACCGATTATTTTCAACAATACTCTGGAGTTCCACAAGGTTCCATTTTTGGACCGCTATTTTTTATTATTTTTATTACTGACATAGGTCAGCATCTAGACACTAAATTTCTAATCTACGCGGATGATTGTAAGTTATTTAAAAATATAAATAATATAAAGGACTGCTTAGTATTACAAAATAACATTGAGCTGATTCAAAACTGGTGTAATTCTAACTGTCTAGAACTAAACGCGCACAAATGTAACGCGATGACATTCACACGTAAAAAAATTGGAATCCACTACGACTACGTAATTGGTTCTACGCGTTTAAACAGACCAAATTATATTAAGGACTTGGGAGTTACTTTTGACCCGAAATTAAGTTTTGTTCCACACATTAACTCCGTAGTTGCTTCTGCTTTTCGAATTCTTGGATCCATTCTCAGAAATATGAGTTATTTTAAAAGTATAGACACATGCAAAATGTTATTTAGTTCACTCGTTAAATCCAAATTGGAATACGCAAGCGCAGTGTGGTCCCCAATATATGATGTTCATATTGCAAATCTAGAAAAGGTACAGAGACGATTCTTGAAAAGTCTCCATTTTAAAATTTACGATTACCACAGGATCAGTGGCTTCAAAATTTTAATTGTGTAAATCTTCAAGATCGTCGAGTAATGCAGTCTATATTATTTTTGTTTAAACTCGTTAACTACAAAATTAACTGTGCCTAACTTTTGTCGCAAATACGTTTACGGGTTCCTCGTATTACCTCAAGAGATCACCAAACTTTCCCATTGCCCATACCGCGAACAAACATTTTATTACAATCACCACTTTATCAAATTCAAACCAATTTTAATGCCCACTCTCAAAACATTGATATTTTCAATTGTAGAGACTGATATAAAAATTTGTTTAGGTTTCGGTAATACCTAGTTTTATCTTGTACGAGTACGTCTTATTTTACTTCAATTTTTATATTTAACTAGCTATTGCCCGCGGCTTTGCTCGCTACTTTGCTCGCATGTAGTCGTGTTATTAATATAAAATATACATGACTTTCTTTTTTATTAATTTTTATTAGTTTTATTTCCACTTCCTCAGAAGAACTTGCCCCTTAATTTGATTTAGATAGAAAGCTAGAAGATCAGGAGACAGTATGTTTTTTCTGCGATGGAAAATTTAGCGAAGATGCAAGGGGTGAGCAGTAGGTATGACGGATATGGCGGATATGACGCCGGAACATATGTGTGCGACGTCTGTAAATAATCTATCTAATTTTCCCTTTTAATAAATAGTCGGTTACTACTTCAACAATGTTTCATTTACCTTTTTAATAAAAAAGCATGTGCTGCTATTTTGGAATATTCCAAATTGGTGGTATTCCAAATTAACTGCATGTTACGTAGACAGAGATTTTTGACACTTTATTTTTCATTAGTGAACAAATACTTTTAAATTAATTTAAATACTTTGAAATTCTCGTCTGGCGTAGTCCATACCTAGATCTAAGACATGTTAATTATTTTAATCAAAATATTCAACATTTAAATTTTTTGCAAATTTCTTTGAAACTACTATTCCGAATTACCCTAATTTACTCCATTGATTTTTCTTAAATTTCTGTTCATTTATCAATTTTGTTTTAAAATTAGTTCATCAGTTGGCAACATTGGTCTTGTGTTGTCGGTTGTCACGGATAGTAATTTTTTTCAATTTGAAATTTTATTGTTTGAGATCATTAACTTAATTTATTTCTTATAGTGTGTGATAACAAACTGTCATAGTGATTATTATTAAAAATGGAAACAACCGGAAAAAGCCTGTAATAACAGAAAATTCATGTGTTGGACACAGCAGATTTTTATTAGTAGAATATAATACAAAACTATTTAAAACCTAAATTCTTGGAGTCAGGTAATTGTGAGGTTGTATAATTTTATTAACAAAATTTTTCCCCATTTTCTGGAATGATATAGTCCAACTAATTAGCAATATGTTTAAGATCTGATACTAAGGTTCCCTGGTAAATTATCACTATATTTATATACCATCATTAAAAAAATGATTCATTACTTTACAAGAAGTTGTGAATTATTTTTATTAATGTTAATTAAATTTTGATAATAAGAAAATTTACATTTTTTAATTGAATTTTGTTACTTTGTTTTTGTAATATTTATATTCATTCGTCTTTTAAATTTTCGTTGACAGGATATATTTTAAGTTGCTAGGGTAAATTATTTTTTATGTAAATTACCTTTTAACCCTTTAATGATACAATGTGTTGGTTTAGATTTTTTCATATATACTTTAATATTAACAATACTTTTTTTTTCTCCTGGGCTCGTCTGACTATGTGTCTCCGAATAACACTGAAGCCTATTGGCTTATTGTGTTTTACCCCATGTTAGTTCATAGCACCTACTCTGTCACCTTTGTACCTTGTACAAGTTTGTACAGATCCTTGGGTGAGTGGGTTCTATACGTTGTTGGATCAACCTGGGGTTGTCCAAAGAGCCTGTCTTTTGCGATATAGAGCTTCGCATTCGCACAGTATGTGTTTCTGGTTTCTTGTGACATAGTCGGCACATGAGTTCCCCATTGTACATGCCAATTTTGTTCAAGTGTATTTACGTTTGAAGTTATAGTTTCAATGAATTTTTTTATTACAGATTCCAGGTCATTGGTTCCAAAGGTTTCATCCCAAGAGAAAATTTGTTGTTTAAAGTGCTTTCTATTTGTGTTCTTATTGTTTAATGCAAAATTATAAAGATCTGTAACGCTGTAGAAAAGTGGTCATTAACTGAAGTTTTTATTATTAAAGGAAGTATATTTACATGTTTTTTTACTATTAAACTTAATTGTCTTTTTAGTTAATGGATTTTTAAAAATAAATATTAGTAATTAATCTAATTGTCTCTTTAGTTAAAAGATATTTTAAATATTCATTATGAAATTGTACCTAAATAAGTAAAATGACAACCGCATATTAGCAGTGGCGGAGCTAGACATGCAAATTGTCAACTTTATCCACTCATCATACTTCCAGGTATTTATCTTATTGGTATTTAAATCCATTAACCGAAATTATTTAATTATATTCTTCTTGTGTTTTTGTATTCGGTTTAATTAATATTAATCATCTTTTGGCTATTTAAGTAAAAAATCTGATGCGTCTTTTTTTTGTTATTACAGTCTTTTCCGGTTATTTGGTACAACCTATTTCATCCCCCCAGTAAATATTCATTGCCAACGAAAATAATGAAAAATTAAAATTTTATAATTTTCCTCAATTTTGCACATTTACAATGTCAGCCGAAAGACAATTTATAATTTCAACGGTCGCGTCGAAACTACTGATAATCATAATTATGGACATGGGGGTGGACATACAAAAAAAAAATAAACCAAAGGACCGAAAGAATTTTAAATGAGAGAAACTATGTAGAATAGAACAAAGAACTCTAAAAAAACTTAATGACTGTTTAAGGCAACAAACTGGGGCGAGAGTTTTGGATACAACAGTGGGAAGAACATTAAATAAAAATAATTTAAGGCTTTTTATCACCTATTATTACAGAACTAACAATTCTGCGTGTTACAATAATTACAGGACTATACAAACAGAAATGTAAATATTAACTAAAATAATTTACAATCTGCATAACACTTTCTGCCGATTGGAAATTTTAATTCTTTCTGAGAAAGTTGAGGGCTACTTATATTGATCTTAAATTGTAAATATTTTCTACCTGTAGAGATTACATATATACCCTATTGTTGTTCATTGAAATGACTAAGAAAATTTAAGGCAAAAATTGAAATAAATTGGTATTTTTAAAAATTTTATAAAGAAAATCAATGATTTTATTTGGAACAAATAATGTTAAACATTTTA